TAGAATATGGAATGTGTACATAGAGTAAGTATATAGCAAGAGTTAAAAGATGATATGCTTTGAGGCAGGATTTTGAATTGTTTAAAAGCATTTATTTTCACACAGAGCCATGTCAATATGTCAGTTTTATAAGAGATTGACCTTACTATGGACAATTTACATTCCAAAATTCCCTGCTAAATATTGTTCAAAAAACAGAATTTCAAAACCAGAAAGACAGATAGATTAATCTGGTTATTGTTATATTTTAGTGTCATGGTATATCAATAAAAGGTCAACTATTACAGAGCAGTTTAACACAAGAGGTGAGATGATATTAGTTTTTATGACAATGTCAATATTTTATTTGATTTGCCTCACTGACTGTCAGTGCTGATTAAAGATCTCTTGATGCAGTCAAAACTCAGTTTAATTGGACTTTACATAGTTTCACCAATCTTCATTAAAGCTATAAGGTGCTGAAGAGTAGGAAATAAAACTTTTTTTTCTGATTATTTGTGTGCAAATTCTTAGAAATGTTTGGTCCTTTGCCTCAAGTTATAGTCAGATACATTGTATGGTTCTATACACAACCTAGGGCATGTTCCTTTAGCAACGGTACAATGATAATGATCATCTTGAATAATCATCGTACTGTTGCTAAAGGAACATGATCCTAGGGTGGCTTCAGGTGAGAATAGATGAGGTACAGTGTCCAATGTTGCATACGGTGCAAGACTGGTAGATAAAAAAGTCAAGCCATTGTTGTCTGCATTGTGTATTCACTTTTTCTATTTTCTACTGTATTTATAATCTCACACCATATACCACATAGGACACTGAATCTTATCTATTCTCAGGGTAATTTGAACTGACTGACAATACATATTGTATATATTTCTAGATGACATCAGGAGAGTTTAAGTTTGCTCTACAAGTAGAAATGGTATTAAATAAAATACCACAACCTGAATATCGTCAGTTAATGGTGGAAGCTCTAATGGTCCTCACTTTATTAGTAGAAAATGATAATTCTAAAATAGATTTAAATCATATTATTGAAGTTGATAAAATTGTTCATGAGGCCAATGCTATATTTCTGGCTGATCAGGTAAAATATTTGCTACTTACCGGGTTTGTTATTCATGGGAATTGGGAAATTTTCCAGTCATAAAGTAGTGTTTTATATCAATAAATTTATATCAAATGTCATATTTTGTTGATTCTGTAATATTTGGGCTTTAGCAGTTAGTTATAACATTATTTATTATAAGATCAGAAGTTATATAAAAGTAGCCTATATGACAATTGAATTTTTTTTCAGAAAATGCCACGTGAGGTGATAGAGGAATCAGAAGGTGCAGCCAATATTAATCAACATTTCTATGACAGTGCTCCTAGTGGTAGATTTGGTACCATGTCTTATTTATGTCGAGCTCTAGGGAAAATGTTAAAACTGCCTATTAGTCAAGAGGGTAATATGGAATGTACATTGTCATAGATGTCTGATTAATTTAACATCTTTAAAGGCAAGCATGTACATGTAGATCTAACTGAGGTCTTCCATCCACGTGACCTATAAAAACAGATGATTTGATTAGGGGTCTATTGTCCCAAACTTCATAGGGTTGTGGTAAACTAACAATGAGAACTCAGATGATGTTTTTGTCTTAGATGAGAACTCAGATGATGTTTTCGTCTTAAATGAGAACTAAGATTGGTTGATTTGGGCTTGCCATTGAGAATTCAGATTGGTTGATGTTGTTAAAAAAATGATATTAACCAAGATTTCTTGATACAAATTTGATGCTAGAACTAGCATGAGATAGATTCCAGGTTCCGATTAGAAAAATTCTCTCTTAGAAACTTCCCTTCTAAATCTCAGTAACTTGAGAAGATGTTTTATTTTAAAAGACAAAGTTTCCTACATTCTAGAACCTCTAGTCAATTAGAATAAAGCAATGTAAATAATAACCAATATTTGTGACGAATTTCACACTCCAGTCCAGTACAGTATTAACATTTACTTCAATTTGTCTCAATCAAAGCTAGATCCAATACAGAAGGTGAAGATTAAACAAGCTGTGGTTCAAGAGATTGAAGGATAGCCTTCACATCATAGGGTCCTGAATGTTAGATAAACTACAATTCTTAATCATTTGTATCACATAACTTTGTTCTTAGTACTCTATTAGTTCACTAATCTGGCTATAATGCTTGAGTTAATAAATGTACTAGATAAATATTTCTTTTAATTCATGTCTGATGATTAACTTTTATACATTTTATACATATGTATTTAGTTAACTATCAAATATCTTGTGTTTTAAATGAAAATTTAAATTAAATCTAAAATGCAAAATTCAAACACCAAGTCCATTTTATTGGTATCCAGTAATAACATTCTTAACTTCTAATTGTATTGATTCTATACTATTTATTCTACTCCTTGTTTGGAAATATCCTTAAATGTGTATGTTTTATACTGTGAATTGAGGGTTGTTATCATTGTGATAAAAGGAATGTTATTATTTATGATCTGATTTGTTTTTTTAATAATAATGTGTTATTGTATATTCTGTTATTAAATCTTTTTCCTGTCTTATGAATAGTTTTTAGCTGAGTTTGAATTGTTAACAGCAGTGTGAAATGACATAATATGCCAGATTCCTGTTAGCTCACGTATGCAAGTTTCCTTTTCAGTTAGGCAGATACAGGAGGGGGTTTCTGTCACTATTTATAGGATTGTAAAAGAATGAAGGAGGGCTGTGTACATTGTCCCCCTTTAACAAGCAAATATAATGATGTAAGCCATATATTTTTACCTTGTGGCTTGCTTAATACAACTTAGACTGAGGAAGATCAGAAAAATTTATCTTTCAATCTGCACAATAGTGATGCCAGGGAAAAAAAAGATGTTAAATTTAAGTTTATTTTTATTATAAATAAAAAATAAAATAGACTAAATAAAAACAATAATTTTGATGTTTTGTTCTGTAAAATAATAGAAGTATGTACGAGTCCAGATGAAGAATAGATCATACTTCTCTATAATGATGATCTATATATTATGATAATGAATACAATACATTGTATATTTCCCTTTACATCGAACTTATTTCATATTTAATGTAAACATAAATACTTTAATATCTTCAGTTACTGACAGCTGGAAAATAAGTTAACTGGTGTCCCTGTTTTCTGATGCTCTCGCGTATCTTACTCATAATAATAGACTGTGTTCACTTCCATCTAAAGCCCATTACACACATAAGTCAACAAACAGCACAGCCATTTGTCACGAGCAACTGAAAACTCACAGTCGGCCATTTGCTTTGGAAGACAGTGCGACAAAAAAATCTCCTGTTTTATGTTTTTGGCACGAATGATAATTGACTCCACATGTGCACTAGACTTGAGATGGCAGATCATTCCAGATTTTCTCAAAGTCCAAACAATTGCATATAAGCTGTCATGTGATACTTTTACCGCTGTTGTCCAAAATGGCATCAGGAGCAAGTGAACCACAGGGGCATTTTCTGCAGTGAAAACAGAGTCCTAGCATGCCAGCTGAGCTGGACCTGAATCTAACTGTTTGAGAGTTTGAGAATAATTCTTGATCAATATTTGTATATTGCAATGTAGTTTACTATTGCTGTAGAATGATGGCTGTATCTGTACTATGACTGTTCATATAAGATGATTGAGACAAAACAAAACATACGAAGGCCTTTCAGAACTCACTCACAGTTTTAAATAATCTAGACTATATCCACACTTAAATATTCTATTTCCTGTTCTCTCAGAGGTTTCTTCAGGTGTAAATATTCCAACAAATTGTTTTTCACTCCCCGATTAAACGGATTATAATAATTTCCTTTTCCATCTTTTAAATATTTATATCTATTTCTGTTTATTCTTTCATTAGTTGTTAAATTCAGACCAGCATGTACAACCTAAAAGAAACAAATTATAGAATTAAATGTATATATTACTGCCTCTTTACAAAAGCTTCAAGAACATACCTTAATTACTTTGTGTCTCAACAAGAAATAATAAAAATTTCCCAAGAACTTATTTCATCATCTTCATCGTAGGCCAAAATCAGTTATGACATTTCTGACCAGATTAAAGATGCTACTGGAAGATAGGGTTTATTAACATGGCATCTCTTTAGTAGAGACAATTTATTCTACATTATTATGGTATTTTTCCAATGTGTATCATAGATCTTCAACATTTTAACAAACATCACCATTACACATTTGAAACACTATTCAAGACATCAACTTACCGTAAAACATGCTATATAAAAGGCTATCAATTCGTATATAAATAACAAGAACAAGCCAAAAATGTAGTCATAGCGAAAATTCCAATTTTCAAATTCAATAATAACAAATCCAAAATCAATTGAGATCAGACCGTTTATAGCTACACAGATAACAAAGATAACAAATGAGACTCTGAAATAACAAAATAGGTATAAAGTAATTACTTGTCATATTATACTGTTTTATTATACTATAAACTGTATTTTAGTACATTACCAATCCATTCAACAAATTCTAATCTTAAAACATAACTCTTGTCCAAAAAGCCGAAAATATTATTGTTTTTGCATCCAAATATATAAGTATTAACCAATTTTGGATTGGTGTATGGAATTGCTTATATACCAAATATTTGTCGTTCTAAATCAACTAAGAATGTATGAACAATGTACAGTTTATATGATAATAAAACAGTATAGTAGATCAGGACAATTGATATTGATACTTACAGTCATCAGAAATACTACTGTAATACCTATAGAGAAGAAAGCAGCTTCAAGAAAACCAATAAAAATAATCCAATCCCACCCAATCACAAATAGTTGGTAATAACATAAATAATCTGTTGTGATGGCTGCTAGGAAGAGTGCAAATATAAATATACAAAACCACACCCTACAAATACAAAGAAAATACAATTAGTTATTCAAACTTATGCATTAGTTAGCCACAATTTGTTTTAATAACATTATTTGAATATAGTGTGTATCTTTGTGTATGTCAGCATGCAGAGCTGTGCCAGATGGGGTGCATTCAACTAGTACAAATTAAAGGGATTATCAAGAAGTTTTCTTTTTATGTGTATCAGGGACAGTAATAGTAAAAAAATAAGTGTTTGACGAAGTCACTAAACACAGCAAAATGTGTGTTGAGTGGTGTCATCCAAACACTTATTTTTTGTGGAATTGAGTGGAAGCGTCTGAATGAAAATTGAAATGCTGCAAATTAATGCTCCCTATTTACACATAAAAGTTCAGAAAACCTTTTTACAACCCCTATTGAAAGGTGATGTCTCTGATAGAATAGTATAGGCAGACAACCTAACGATGCAATTGGACAGAAAATGATATCATACACCCATAAAAGGAGAAGAAACAAGGTGTAGATATGCATATTAACAACTTGTTAGAAATTAGTTAATAACTATGACTATATTTAATATATCCCTTTAAAACCGGAAAAATAAGCTAAAAATAAAAGTATAGTATAGAATGAAAAAGTGTGCAAGCATGCAGAGAGCCATCACAATAGATAGAATTGATCAAAAAATATAAGTTATTTGTCTACACCACAAAATAATATATATATATATATTTGAAGATATGAAGCTACAATCTTTACTATGATAGTTATTTATTATTACATTTATATTATTAATATTATATCTTTTATTAACAAATGCTAAAACCACATTTCCATAAATAAAATATTTCTAAGCTACATTACTCTGGAGTAATTTAGGTCCCATAGCAATAAGCTGTAGGGAATTGGGAATTGGGGAATTCAATAATCTTCAACCTGGTTAAAAGATACTGAGTGTGGTTAAGATAAAAGAATATTTTGAGGTTTATTTCATGTGGCATCGTGTTCTAAACATTTTACTATGTTTCTACAGAACACTCAAACTTGAACACACCTTCATTTTGCATTTAAATCAATACTAAGTGTCATATTCATTCTTTAGCTCTGTAAGCATATGTGAATAAACAAAAGGACATGGTGTCAATAAAATACCGCCATATAGGAGAGATACATGCATGTAAAATAAATGTAATCAGCAATGTCATACACCACGAAAAGAATAGAAATCTTACCTATTGTTATAACCAACACAGTTATAAATATATGGACAATGATGATCAAATTCTTTAATACATCTATTACAGATACGACAATGTTTGGCTCTGACAGGTTTAACTGTACGACAGGTATGACACAGTTGACTTAATGGATTGTTTCCTTGTTTCCATTCATCAAAGTGAGCAACCTGAAACATGATTTAGTTCATTTAAGCAAGTTATTTTTAATCCATTTTTACTGTATTTTACTACTTATATTGAGCAAAATGGAATATATTCCTAATAATAAACCTTTTTGCTTGAAAGACTATGCTAATTCTCCCATAACATCGTTAAAAGAATAGAGCATCTCCTGACCCCAGTAGCAAACAGACATTATTTTTTTAGGCATAAGAGCGAGAAACATATGAAACATACTGGGTAAGTTTACCTGTTTTATAGCCTGGTCATATTCTGGAATATTTCTAGGAAGGAATCCTGGATCTGTTGTACTAGCATGATATAATGATATCCACATAAATACATTACAGGTAATAAATAAGAAATGTATGACTTGTAAATCATAGAATGTTACTGACAGACACTGAAATAGACAATATAAAATCAATGATAAGGCTTTTGAAATTCGAAATTACCGGTAAATCCTTATTGACCAGTGAAAAAAGATCAATTCTATATCAAAAAAAAATAAATCAAGATCATATAGAAAACGGTTTTACTCCAAATGTAGCACCAAGAAGAACTGCAAGAACTTGGATCATATAATATTGTATTTTAACCCTTCCATAACTATACATACCTTTGCATATTATTTTGGAATAATTCATAAATTAATAATAATTTGGTCACTTAAAATCAAAAACCTATATCTTACCTTAATTATATACATAGGATAACCCCAACATAATAAACTTATAATAAAAAATAATAATGCTCCTTTTGTATTGCCTGGTGGTCCAAATAGTATAGACCTGCAAATAAACAAACATTTATTACAATAATAAGTAGGTAAGTGCAATTGGAAAAATACTGTGCTTCTATGAGAAATCAATCATTAATGATAATTTCTAGGCTTTGTCAAATATAATCAATATCATACTCTGAGAAGTGTTCAATATCAATAGATTTTGGCTCTCAAAAAAAAAAATTTTTGGAAGTATTTTCATTAAATCTCAACTTTTTCAAGGCATCTTCATGGACCCACAAACTAAAAACATGGTTAAAAACATGATTTTAACAAGTTTATACTTATTTTGTAAGATCACATCAGATACCAGCAGAGAAATCTAACTTACCAAATATCTATTCTTGGTAAAATACTTGTTCTAAATCGGGCTTCTTTTTTCAGATATTGTACAATACTTTCATGTTTTCTACCTAAAGCCAACATCAATGGTGTTTTATTATTTTTATCTGCCAGATCAATTTCAACACCATCCTGTTTAAACAAAAAGGTGAAACTTAATGTCAATTCTATCAATAAAAAAAAGATGCTACTCAAAAAAAGGAAACAATCACTTAGCTACGAAAATATGTTTTAAGTACAAAAATTGAATGCTTAATTCCTATTTCCAAGACAACTGTCATGAAGAGGACTTTATATCTATCAATAGCATAGGTTTACCCAGACCTGATACTGACATTGGGGTGAAAGACAGTCTTTTTTATTTACTATATCAAATGGCTTAGTCTAGTAAAAGACTCACTCAAATCAAAATTTTATATGACACAAGCACCATGCTGAAATATGCCAATCATAGCCAATGCAAGTGTGAAATGTAATTAACTTGATAACTAAATTAATAGCAGTAAAGCACAGTATAATTTACCTGTTCACATAGTTCTTTGACAGCTGTTAAATTACCATTAATACAAGCTAAGTGGAGAGGAGTTTGACCAAAGTTATCTTTTTGTCGGGGATTGAATCCAGAATAGATTAACAACCTCATTAATTCAGAGTATCCTGAAGACAGAATGGGTAAAAAAAATACAATAATATAGTAATGCATCCATTAAAAGCAACAGAAACAGGCTATTTATTTATTTGTTTAGTTCTTGTTTGAACAAATATATTTCAATGTCACAAAGTGTATTATTTTCCATCTTTGAATGAATAAAAATCCCTGAAATTATAAATCTCAATGGCAACACATGCCAATGCCTACCTTTAAAAGCTGCCCAATGTAAAGCATTATCACCATCTTTATCAACTAACTGTAACCTAGCTCCTTTACCCATTAAATACCCTGCTAACATTGTCTGTCCATATTGAGCAGAAACAAGTAAGGGAGAGCACCCTTTATTATCTGTCACATCCAAGGGAACACCGGCTTGAGTTAAAATATCTACCACTGCAATATGTCCATTCACACATGCCCAATGAATAGGATGAGCACCCAATTCATTTTCACTGGGCTCATCTATAGGTCCTTTGTTCTCTATGATATGTCTAAGAATTGTTGTATGTCCACCAAGACATGCCCAATGAGCTGGTGTGTGACCCTTTTCATCTCTTACTCTGAGCACCTCCACACCTTCTTGTTCTATGTATGTCTGAACAGGAATCAGAATTCTGAAATGAAATATTGTAGAAATAAAAACCTGAGCATATATATATATAAGAATTTTATTGGCTGAATGTTAGAACCATAACCATTCCACTTAGAGTTTTAGAACTAATTTTGATGTAAAAAAAACTTCTGAAACGTTCACCATTCGTACCTATGTCTTAGAAATATTAATATTTAGCTCAGCTAAACGGTACTGTAATAGTGTTAGCTCACCTTTGAAATTTGAGCCTTCAAATGCAAGTGCGTACAGTATTATCTGTATTTGAAAGTTAAAATGACGACTCATCATTTCTTGATACTTTGCCATATAGAAGAGACATAGTGTATAGTATAGAAAAAGAAAGCAATATTTCTGGTTTGAGGTATATTTGAAGTTGTTATGTGATTTCCTATCAGTTCTTGTAACTTTCTAAAGAATAACCTATTTACATTATATTCAAGACACAAATCAACCCCCGAAAATGATGAACCATGGCCATTTATAATTTATAAGCTATATAAGTAAGGAGTTAATTAATAGGCTAATGACAAACTACATTATAATTTCCAATAATAAACTAAAAATTACACACTTTTTACATGCTTTCCTATTTTACACATAATGACACTGATCAATACAAGTTGGGTTACTATGATAAACAATATGTCCTACTGACAAACATTGACTGTACTGTATATTAATATTGACCTATCACTAACGACACTATAAAAGAACCTGTAGAAGTGACACTTCACTTGACAGAAAAAGAATACATACATACAGTAAATTACCACCTTATGTTTACGTTTTTTTTTCTACTTACCCGTGCTTTATGGCTTCAAAAATAGGGTGAGCTTTTGAATTGGGGCCTATTTTGCCTTCCCCACATGATTTATCACCACAGGAATGCCCATGAGACTTTTGAGAGTCACCAGATTGTGCATTTCCACTTAACAAACCAACATTCTCCGACATTTTGTTCTGCACTTAATCGGGCTAACGGAAAATTCTGGATTCGATTCAATTCAATTCAAAACGGAAAACGTAGCATTTCTTTACCATGGCAACAAACTGCCCTGTTCATTTGTTAACATTATTTTTTCATTTGATACATTGAGTGCAACATAATAAACGCTAATTAGATTTCAATTACGGGATTAATGGAAAGAGTCTATTTTTAAACTGCGATGAACTTTTGTCCGGATTATCCAGTTACTTTATAAACAAAGATGGCGGCTTCAATGGAAATCGACGAAAATGACGATCTTGGAGAAACTCCTTCAGTCAGTGGGGAAAAGGGTTCTAAAAAGCGATTTGAAGTGAAAAAGGTATTCAGTTATCTATTTATTATAATCAACATTATTATGAAGCTCAGATTCGTAAAGTAATCAGGAATTTGTGAAAAATAGTTATTTTCCTTGAAAGGATTGCCTCGTTTATCCAGTCATTCGTTTTGTCCCTGGTGGTGTTAGGGTGTATTGAGACGAGTCTCAATGAAAGCACTGGCCTAGGTCACAGAGCAATAGATAAGTCTATTGATTATGTGAAAATTAGTTAGTCATTAGTATGATTTTAGTTGAAAAGACACAAACACAAAAATACACTGCATGTTATATAATATACTGTATATAGCCATGGCGTGGTGATAAAGTACTACCGGTATTACAAACATGATGCTAATATTATTATAGAACTTGGTGATAGGAAAAAAACACACACACAAACTCAGATAGGTGTAACAATTAATCAGAATTACAATGAAATGGTCGATGAAGAGAACCCAAGCCCCTCTCGCCTTCCAGTTTCATCATTTTCATACTCAACACAAGTATGACATGATATTTAAAGCCGATATCTACCAGATGATAAATATTGAATTCGGAATCGGAATTCCAAGTGTCGTCTGCTAGAATGTAGTCCAACGAATGAAGTCACTATCAACTAGCAGATTCCATGTCAGCAGAAAATTTCTATGAACACAAAGTGGGCCATATTCTGATGTTGTTTCAGTGACTTTTAGCAATAAATTGCGCTACGTATCTTATTTTGTCAGTCACCATTTGTTTTTAAAAACGTGGTTCTTTGAAGGAATTGTCACTAGTTATAATCAATTGATATTAAAGATAAATACTAAGAGAAGTTAATTATACCACCCGGTATCCATACATCGCGTTTTTCTCGACTTATTTATAGATCAAACATTGTACACGAAAATAGGTGACGCATTCTGCCTCCATTGCCGAGTTGGTTGCTCATGAAATATGGGTCAAAGTGAAGGATTCATAAAGAAAATCGAAACAAACCAATTTTAAATATTTAGTAGAATATCTGAGGAAACATTTAATACATACGAAAAAAGGTTACACCACTGTACTATTTACTAGGTCAAAATTGCAATTTTATATTGACTGTTAATACAGAGACCACAGTTTTATTTTGATTTCAATTATTTTAGATTAGCAATGCTGTACGTAGGCTTTTGGTTATTTTTATGGGAGAGTCTCTGGGCCCCGTTTCTCAAAAAATCGTACGACTTAAGACTGAACTTACGATTGTCTTAAGTTTACTATTATGTGCATTTCTCAAAGACTATCGTATATTTCACGAATAATCTTACGATAAAAATTGTCGTATGATCAAGGTTTTAAACTTAGCATGCGCAATACCGACTTAAAAGTAGATGACAAAGTGTCTATTGAAGGCGACGTGACAAGGAAATCGAATTGAATGAAAATTAAGTAGATTTTTTTCATCAAAGAGGTTACTGAAAATAGATCCATGGTAAAATCGATATCTTCACCCTCATTAACAGCGAACAGTAAAGCTAACTTTTAGAATAAAGCTAACTTTTAGAATAAAGCTATAGAAAGTAGTCTGTAGGCAGTTTCGCCTTTCTTTTATTGTGAAAAAAAGATCATTTGGTTCTACCACCTGATAGTTACGACAGCTTTGACCACTCTTAAGTTTACACCAGATTTAGTCGTAAACTTATGATAATTTTGATCTGTTGAGAAATGCCATTTATGATCAAATCAGCACTTACGACTTACGATTGATAGTAAGATTTTTTGAGAAACGGTGACTTGAGATTAATCAATATTTGAATCAGAGTGATTATGTAGTGAGAAATTTCTTTACACACTTCATATTGCTTTTGTTGTAATTTTCAAAATGGTATTGATAACAAATATTTCTATCTATTTCAGTGGAATGCTGTAGCCTTGTGGGCCTGGGGTAAGTGATAAGAAAATATCAAATTAGCCTATTGAGAATTAGCCGTACAAATCGGGCCCTATACATTTCTTGGATGCACTATACAAATCAGTCAGCCATTTTTGGATCACTGATTTTTGAGAATTTTCACCATGATAAAAGCCAAAGCTGAACCATTTATGAGTCAATTAAATGATATTCTACAATGTCCCTGTGGCCCAACACTGTAAGGCTTTTACCTTCTTCGTGAGTTAAGCCTACCCTTTGACTGTGTTGTGATACCGTCTGATCCACAGGGACATTGTTGAGCAATAAATCATTTAGTATTGACATTGACGTGAATGATTTTTTTTTCAGATATTGTTGTTGATAATTGTGCTATTTGCAGAAATCATATTATGGATCTATGTAAGTAATCTATCTAAATGTCAATTTGTTGACCATTGCTAATTTTTTAGTCTATAGCAGGCCATATCAATTGTAAAAATATATTTAATGAGACATAAAGGGAAACAGTCATTTCCAGTTTTATATCATCTGTAGACTAATAAGTATACATGAACTATTATACAGGGATAAAGATAAAAAGTTAAAATCTATTCTACATATTGTTATACATAGACTTTATTATTTGTTTCAACATTATACTTATTAAATAATTGCTATTATATTTATTAATGTTTGTATTATATTATATTGTAGGTATTGAATGTCAAGCTAATCAAGCATCAGCCACTAGTGAAGAATGTACTGTAGCTTGGGGTGTATGTAATGTAAGTTAAGTCTTTATCACTTGTCCAATTTTGACTTCCAAGACCTTTTTTGCAAATCCCTTATCTTTTCCAGTGGACATAGGTGTAAAATTTTAAAGGCTATATACGTGACAAATCTAATATGGTTTTCATAAGAAAGTTCAAATAAATTGTAGTCAAACAAAATATGAATATCTAAGGAATTTTCCTTAAACAGTCCATTTTTGGTCTAGTGTGAAATAATCAGACCAATATTGTGTTATTCATTGTATCTTCATAAAGTGAGCAGTTCATGTTTAGAAACATCTCTAAATGTGTATAATTTTCCTTTACAAGCTATACAAGGTGCTAAGTTACTTGTTTGCTGCGATAGTATATTTTTTCTGTATCATATTATTTCCTTTTCAGCATGCATTTCATTTCCACTGTATTACAAGATGGTTAAAAACTCGACAAGTTTGTCCATTAGATAATAGAGAATGGGAATTTCAAAAGTGAGTTTTTGATAAATAACACAAAAATAGAAATACAATCAATATTGCATAATATATATACTCACCAACAGTGCTTTTTATGAGGGATCATGATATTTTCATATCTATCAGGGCAGATTAGACCATCAATTTTTTTTTTTATTAGAAATCTTGATGTTATGGCCAGACCTTTTAGATTTTATGAAGCATATTTTCTTCATAAGTTAAATGTTTTATCATTCTGTTTTTCAGGTATGGTCATTAATCAACTAGATTATTTATTGTCAACTCTCACATTGTCACTATGTTTTGTAAAATAAAGTTTCTTCAATTCAATCATTAAATTTGTGACTAATCTGATACTATTGAGAATGTCAACCAGAGCTAGACTCTTGTAGGCAGTAAAAATATGTGTACTGTCTAGACTTTAATGGTTCAACATTAGGTTTGTTGGTAGTGAATTCTCTATTAGACTTGGGACAGAGGGTCTAGTTTATGACATGATGTCAAACTTGCAAGGAAATACTTATTGCAAAGAGACAATAATTGGAAACAAACCATGATTGCGAATCAAGTTAACTTGAATTTTACATTAATATTGAGAAAATAAAAATGCACCAATAGCTATACTTTTAATATAAAAATATTTAGACGTATATAAAAAGAAAGTATATTATGAATTGTTGATATGAATGAATCTATAGTAAATCATGAGTTATAAAATGGAATGATAAAAGCACATTAGAATGTTAAGTTGAAAACTAAAAGGAACTGACTTCATAAATTTAGAAAACAAATTGGAATGTTATATAATCTAAACAAATAATTCTTCAAATTAGAATGAAGGATAAAAACAAGACAAGCACTTTCTGTTGAATCTTTGTGCAGTTCAAATAAATTTTTGTTGAAATTATTTTCTGTTAATTGTATTTAAAAATAAATCTATATACAAATTCTCCATGATATCAGGATATCTAGGCATATGAATGGCTGTACTTTTTCTCTGAGAATCTCAATTCCATGGCCATTTCATCCTTCATTTCTTCTTCTCTCGATTGTATCACCAGAATGAATAAAATCTATAATTAGAAAATTCAGAATATATATCAGACAGATGAGCACATCAGGGGATGATCATAACTAGGAGTGCCTGTATGGTTTTTTTCTGGGGGGGAAACTGTTACAATACTTCTTGAACTACCCAAAAGTATAAGTGTACCTGTTTGTGGTTATATTGCAATTTCTGAATGTTGAACCTTCAATTCTCAAGCGACAGAATTTAGGGTGTAGGCGTAGGCTATTTCAAACAGTCAAATTTAAGAGCACTAAAATATAATGCACTAGTATATGGTAATGTTTACATCTTCCACAGTGTCCTTCAATTGGCTATCTTAACTGATAATATTACTTACGTTGACAGCCACTCGAAACAACCAATACAACCAAATAAATACCAGAAACTCTAACCTCTACAATATAACAACGGGAATATTTAATAAAAATATCTTAATTTAGGAAAATGAAATTCATCAAGTATTTGATATTTTGACATTAAAATAAAGTAACATCCAGTATGCCTCATATGTGATATTAGCCCTTAAATCCAAGAAAAGTTTTATACTTACAAATGTGTTATTTCCATAAAATGAAAATTCGAAAACTGAGAAACAGAATTCAAAAAATGTGTAAACCATGAGCCATCTTCTATAGTATTTAAGTGTGTCCATATACATCACAAAATGCTGCAAAAAAGGACATTAAAGTAAATTATTGTGTCTTTGTTATACATCACCATCAAAAAGAAATCACACCCAATTGTGCCATTGAGATCCTCTGCTATCTTTTTTTAAACAACAATTGTCATCTAGTGACTGCTTGATGTCCATAAGGTTTTACATAAATTCAACATTATTTGAGCTATTTGCAGATTGGCTTTAGCTGTTGTAGTGGATTCTTCACTCTTCAAATAATAAACTCCTCAGGTTAAATATGCCTTTCATTTCTTAGCTCCACTGCTACTATAACCTTATGCTACTCTGCGATTGAGTTAGTTGTTTTGACATCCTTTCTAGAAAGTATACAAAGTTATCTTCTTAATGGTGCAATTTTTTAAAGACAATGAAAATATTTACCTCGCGTGAAACATAAATCAGCAAGATGAAGGTAAAAATCAGTGTAATCATGTGACCAATGAACACAATAATGTCACTGGCTAGGAAAGCTGTAAAATGAAAATTGAAAATCCCATTACAATATGAAGATAATATGAATTTTAGAATAACAGGATTGTTTGGATATAGAAATACATGAAATGGAACAGAGTTTTACATCCTACTTTTCTACTCCAGTTGAAACTAGTGAAGACAGTATTCAATATAGGACCAATCATTTCCTGCCATATATACTCTACAACCCTTCCACTCTTTGTCACAATGGATTTATAAGTCTTGATTATCAGGAAAATGGACTTCCTGTATTAAGAAATCTGGTACTTGACCATATTTCTAGACATTGATCTTTCTCATATTATCATTACCTATTTATAACATAGTTGACAGGAATAATCAGGAAAGACGACTCATTCAAGGTCAGTATGCACATGCTGACCAATATAAGAACCTACAACCTACATTTGTTCACCAAAACCAATCAATTAATGGCATCATGTAAAGTTGTCAGTGCTCTGACCAACTGTACTATATCATAATGCAGGTAACCCTACCTTCTGCTTGATGTGATCTCCATTGTGTGTGGAATCCTCTACTGATTTCAATATCTGGTGAACCAATAGCTATCAGATCAACAGTTCTTAGAACAACAGCAAAAACAACTGTTATCTGGAATCAAATCATGAATTTATAGTCAATTTGTTTATATCCCACATGCATGAATCCCACACCATTCTTTAAATAGAAAGGCCTACTAGCAAGACTGAAATTTTCTGCTTTTGGGCAATTATTCCATTAAAAATCAAATTATTTGCTTCAAAATGGTAATGATTGTCTAATAAAAAATTTGGAGCATTTCATTTACAGACAGAACGAGAATGTGCTTATTTTTTAACCATTGGGAAACAGGTGAATTTATTTCATATGTAACATATTTGCTTTTGGAATTGAATATGTGTAACATCACACTGTAAAGGCCAATGCTATTATCAACTTCTAGTGTAATACAGTCACTGTTCATTTAGAGGTGATGACCGATCTACTTAAGAATGATATTTAATTTGTTGATAATATTCCTCAGATCTGACCACTGTTGTAATAACAACTGACTCATTTTCAATACAGCACAGGTAAATTTTAATCTACAGGTAAAACACTTTATATAAGCCTGGTTATTCATTTACGTTGATAATTAAGGTATTAAAATACTCACCATTATGTATATAAGGCCAGCAAATGTGGCGCTAGCAAGAGTCCAACATAGGACTTTTTGCTTGAACACCGCCATTTTGAAATTTACCTTCACATCCGTACCTGTAATTAGGTCATCAAAATAGGGAGCGGTTAGTATTGCTTTCGTCTGAGACACCGACAACATCGAAATCTCCAATAAATCTGCCTTTGAATTACAAATTGAACTCTTTTTAAGAAAATTAGAATAATTTTCGCATAGAAAAAGAATAATTTTATACGAAAATTCTGTTGAAATTTTGTAATTCCAAAACTAACAATGATTACTCAATTTATCTATCTCGTTTGTCACCTGTAAAGAATGTCTCATTATTATTTTCTTACATTAAAGGAAACGTTTTGAAATTTAAATTGTCTGTTGGCTTAGTTTAGTCTTAATTACCAAAATACTATTTAGTTAGACCCAATGAAGAATAGGATGAAATAATTCCAAATATTTTTTAACGATTCTTCATTCTGGATACTTTTGACAAATGGTCCTACAGATGTGAAGCTACTAAGTTGATGTCCTGGGGGATCATTAAAATTGGTAATCTCCCACTAAAGTAAGCCTATCCGAATGAAGAGGTCTGTAAAGTACTGCCTTGCTCAGCACTTTGTCAATATGTGCAAATAGAAAAAAAAAATTTCTCAACAAATTTATTAAAATTGTTCCCTCTTTTTGCTAAATTTATAAAATAGTAAAATTTCCCCATTGGAATAGTTTTCTGAGATTACGCGTATAATTAGTTGCTTGTAGGCTCGTAGTATGTAATACCATTATAACCTTGTTCCAAATAGGTTTGTATTACGTCATTTATAATACACTGCTGTGCCTATATTGTGCAATAGAATAGAGATTTTTACATTTTACACATTCTGCTCCAGAAAGTTATCATTATCTCGTTTGCTTATTACTGATGATTTCACAAATATCATTTATTTGATTTTAGACAATATAGTTTGAAAGTATACACAGAAAAAGTATTGGTTGAAAATTAATTTTTAAATCTATCAAAGTCCTTGAAAACAGCTTGCAAAAAATCATAATAATTTACTTTGAAGCAAGGACAAGATAGATTTTGTTTTCCTCAAAAATCATGAACTACAATTAGGCCTACCATAACATTATTAGTTATCTGAGATAAATCATATTTAAAGATACGTCATACTGAAAGAACTCATTACCAGCAGCTACAGAGTAACAGACCTACCATTAGGCCAAACTCGATTTTAGCCTACAGCGATTCAATAAACAGAGGAACGAAGAAGGCAAGAAATTTCGACAGTGGCTGCTTTTGGAATGTCAATATCAGTTCATTCACTTTAGACTACCTGAATGTAGAATTTTAATTTTGAGTGACACGAGAAATGGCATATTTTTACACGGACAAAAGCTTCTGGTCGTGCAGATGGGGCAGTCAATAAACCGAGGCCCCGTGTGTTACAAGCTGTGCACGTAAAAGATCCCTTGACAGTTGGAAATCGAAAAATATTAGGCTAACGCCGCTGTCCTGGAAAAATTTCCCTCATTGCACCCTGCTGGCGTTGCCCGTCTTCATTAGCCCAAACGGTGCAGAATGGTAAGACGTAAAACTCCATTCATTTCGTTTCATTCACGAAACATTTATAAGGTGAGAGGGAAAGGGTGTATAACAGAATTGTCAAGTTGAGGAAAGAGGAGAAGAGTGAAAGCTGCACCTGCATCAGTTCAGCCACGAGTATAGCATAGAATATTTTAAATTGATGAAAATAATCAGACCATACAAATTGAATTTATTTTGAGTAAAAACATGGAAATATATATAATATACAGTCGACAGTTGTTTTAAATACCCGTATAGTATTTAATTTAAAGGTAACAGTTTTTGACTGATGAAAAATAATAAATTCAATTCCATTTGTCAAGTTTTCTTGGGGGTGAACCCTCCCAGACGTTCCATCGGAGGCTAGCACCTATAGCGCTTCCAAAGCAGAGGGTCACCCGCCCCCTCGCAGCATATTTTTCGGGCAAAAAATAAAAATCGCATAACTAGGTTAGAAATTCGGACAACCTTGGGTATTTAGATTTCCAGATGTTCTTGAATCCATCGAATGAAAATTAAACAGTATGCACAGCAGATAACCTGTCTGTTAAAGAAGGTCCACAAAACAATGTGATTCAACTTTGAGCTGAGGCCATTAGAGAAAGTTTCGTTGAACACAAAAAAATCATCTTATGAATTAAACGTTAATTTACAGAAATTTACATAATATCTAAATGTCAAATTCCAAAAAATATATTTAGAAACTTAATGCGACGTCATCATTATATCAGAACTAGGCCTTTGTACAGCCAACTAGGCCTATAAACATATGAATTTATCTTAGCACTGTAACAAAATCATTTTATTCTTCACTGTATATTGAGTTATAAATATGACTTAATCTTCAATAATTCAAAATATTATTTTGTACAAAGTTGAGTGAATTTTGTAAATTCTCGTTTATCTCCATATCTTTCTTTGTTGGGGATTCCCTTGTTTACAGCTGAGGGGAGATTCCTAGGAACGTTCCTATTTATCAATGTCAGGTGTTCATAGTTTATGATATGTTCAATTTTTAAAAATCCAACCAAGAACAATGAATATGAAACAATAAGATAATCCTCAAGATGAAAACAATGTCCCAGATATACTACAACAAAAGATTTAATTCTTGTAATGTGGTAAAAAGAAATTGTGAAATTCCTCAAATCCCCTATAAGTACAATGGGAATGGTCTATTTTGCTAAAGAAGGCAAGTTCACTGTCGCATGACGTCACATGTGACAAAATGGCGGTAGATTTGGCATATCGTCGAACACTTACATGATTATTTTGATGGGAAAACGTAAGAATCGATGGATCTGATAGTTATTCGTTATGGCGGAGCCCAAAAGGATTCAACTGACATCAATCGCTCCTGTTGAAAAAGACAAGAAGAAGAAACCAAAGCCGAAAACTGTTCGAATCAACTTGACATTGAAGGAGTCCACAGATACAACATGTCCGGAGTTTTCATACACCGAATTAACAAGAAATGAAGTGGTAAGAGGTGGAATTTTTTGATGAAATTTGCTCAATTTACTCATGAAACATTACTCTATTTGGATCTGAAACTGTCCTTTCATTATACCCATTTTTTACCGAGTTATGTAGGGAATTCCATACCCTCTATTTTCACCCCTTTTCCATATTGTTTGTGTTCATTTCTCTAATTTTTCATCAAAACTATCAAGGAAAATGGCTGAACAACGCACATAATGTTCTCGAGTTGCATAGAAAAATAGCCAGACATCGACAACGCCATATTGAACCTTTTCTCTATTCATTCTTCAACCAACAAGTATATTTTGAGGGAGCGACAGAGTTGAAGCCGACTTCCAATCCACGAGGTATTCCCCGACTCTTCCTTTCAATACCTCCTATCAAAGCAGGTTTCCTAAAGGTTTCGGGGGTAGATTGTCGGGGGTGAAAATTGACATTTTGAAATGTTTTTTATGTGTCGACGTCCCCGGCAATATTTAATTACATACGATGATTTCTAGGCCAGCAAGTAGCTCGAAATAAGCCATGTTTACTAGCTCGACCTTGTCTTCTGCAAGATCTTACGTGCAATTCATAAAACAAAAACACGTCTTCTCTGGTCCAAATATACTTAAAATCTGGGTGAAAATTGTCGGAGATTTAAATATTTTGATATGCCATTTTATTTTGAAATATATTATGATGTTGTCATGGCCCGAATATTATTTTAAGACCATGATGTCGGTATCTTTATGTAAGTCAAACTAGGACAAGTTCTTAGTAATGTGAATACAAAGTGCGCTTTTCGGATACTTAATCAAAGTCATACTTTTAAATTTTGGAATCAAGTTTGGACTTGGGTTTTGAGTTATTCTTGATAATATTTAGATATTTTAATTGATTTCAATTAATTATTTTGGTAATTTGATTGATTTTGACTGATATAGAGAGATGATTGGCAGCAGTGTAGGGGTTGAAAGTAGGTCAAGTTTATTTTTAGACTAGAGTAACTAGTAAAGCGTGTAGTGAGTGATATCGGTAAAGATAAGCATGAGGCAAGGTATATTGGGGAATAAGTTCGATTACTGATTGATTTTATCGACTTTGGTATTAAATTATGTTGCTAGGTGACTACAGATTGGGGTTTTGTTATAGTTAGTGCGCATGAGCTAAACGTTATGGTGTATATTGCCCTGTATAGTGGGCGTTATCAACTGGAACAAAGTGTCTCTGTGTGTAAAGTTAGGCGCACGCTACTTTATTATTGTATTGTATTGAATAACATTATCAGAAGGCCTAGTATTTGGCGCGCGCTCAGGCTAATGTACGTGCAATATAACACGCGTGTATTAAAGTGACGGTTTATGGTTTTTATGTTGGTCATTTTTTTTACTTTAACTTACGATATAAATGTTTAATTATTTCACAGTTGACATTGTTGATTAGATTTTGCTTTTTCAAAGCTTTTTTGTCTGGAAGATCATTCTTATTTGTATATTTTTTTAGTAAATAGTTTTGATATATAAAGTGCATTATGTTTGTTTATTTGCCTACGTTACGTTATTTTTTTGTATTAGAATAATTTATAAAGGGAAGGGTGATGGTTTGGGTTTAAGTAATTGTTTGAAGTTGATAATTTTTTTTTAGACATTTAAGCACATTGCATAAATTATGTAAAATAATTATAAATTATTTATTTGAAAACAATATTTCTCTCTAATAGGGAGATTCTTCACAAGATGGAAGTTCAACAAATCCTTTTGGAGATGAAGATGATGATGTTGCAGCAATCGCCAGAAAATTTGAAGAAAAATATGTAAGATTTTCAGTTTTAAACATTTTCAGTTTATAATATGTTTTATAATTGGACCCTATGCATATAAGTTTTAAGATGTTGTATTTGTAGGATGATAAATCATAAAACACTCAGTTTTAGTGAAATTGCAAGACTTGCAAATATCTGATTGAAAATTTAGATGGTGAAAATCGATGCAACCAATGCAAGTTAAAAGTTGGAAAATATAATCATC